CACCATGATGATGATGATGTATGTTCGGGGCTGCATTACAATATTGATTGTTCGGATCATTGGTATCTAAGTCTTCCGCTGTGCTATCTTATACTTTGTATTGAAAGGTCGGTTCTTGTTCTGGTCTGCACCTATACGGTATGCAACACTTTCACTCCGACTGTTCCAGACATGTTTCATTTCTCCGAGTTACGTTATAAAAAAATCAGGAGAAAAGCTGTTTCTAGCGTTTTTTTGAGTTTTTTAATTTCTTGTTTTGAATCATTAATGTCGAAATGGCGTCACACCGTTGAGTTTTCTAAACTCAACAACGTTAGGTGGGACCATGGATGGGCCGCAAAAATAATAAAGTAAAAATAAAATTTTAAAATTGGTAACGAACCTACATTGTTGGAGGAGGGGAAGGGCACATGTCCCACTTTCACCGTTTAGTTGACGCAACTCAACTCAACGGTGTGACAGCTGAAAATTTTAATGTTCATTTTAATTGGATTGAAAATACGAAATGCATTTCTAATCGTGCGGATACACTTGGTTCTTTTTTCCTTTTCTTTCACAAATGGAGTGGCATACGGGCGAGTCCACAGCCGAAAATGAAGAGTGAGTTGCCAGAATCCCTTTTGTACAAAAATGGCAAACGGAAGGAGGCTTGTACAATTTCTCCAAAGAAAACGGCTTTGGGGGGAAGAAGACGGTCGTTGAGCTGGCTGTCTCAGAAAAAGAAGACAGCTAGCTCAACGGAATGTGGCAAGGGTAGGGGGAGTAGTATTCGAGAGAAAGGATTTACTTCTGCTTAAGTTTTTGTTGTAAGAAAAAAGCAAGGATAGTCTCTATTGCCGTTTTTTGTTAAAAAAAGGGCGGCTAGATGACGTGGACAACGTGCATCTCCGTTGTCGCGTACCGTCGCACAGCGTCGAAAACTAAACGTAGACCTAGCTCAAGGGAGCTAGTGGGACATGGTCCCAGGAGTGCCTTTCCCAGCCCGGTTCGGCTGCGGCATTCATGTGAGGGACGCCGGGCCCGCTTCCCGGCTTAATAAAGGAAAGGTGCTTAATGTTCACTTTATTTTGCTGCATAACCTTGTGTTGTTCAGTTTTCTTTTTTTTCTTGTTTTCTTTCCTTTTTTTTTTGCCGGGACCTTCTTTCGGTCCTTGCATTGCCAGGCCGCCCGGGCAAACAAGGTGACCCGGGCGGCCCGGCTGGTAGCCCAGTTGATTTATTGATTTATTGATTTATTGATTTATTGTTGATTTATTGATTTATTGATTTATTGACTGAGCTACCAGAGTGGCCTGGGACCACTTGCCCGGCCGGGCCAAATATATATATAGTTTATTGACAAATTTAATATAATAAAAAATACAATAAAAAATATAAAATAATAGAAAATACAATAAAAACAGTATTTAACATTTGATTTTTTGAAAAAAAAAAAAAGTCATCAAGCTGACTTACTGAAATTAAGTCATAAAATATTACACAATGGAGAATACACATAGATATAATATCTATATAGATATTATATAAAAAAAATAGAGATATATTACATATGTATATTTCCATACAGAGAATAGAAAAAGCTGTTAGCCAACCAACAAAGACAAGGAGGTTTCTGTTTTCTTTTTCTATTATCCAAAAGATGATTTTTTTGAATGAAAGAAAAATCATCTATAGCTTGACTTGGATTCAACAAATAGGCTAATTTCCATTACATATTTCAAATCTTTTTTTTTTATTGATGATCGTGATAGTTGATTCCAAAGAAACTCTTGAAAATCAATCATCAAACACATAGATGGGCGTCCCGCCGTGTTTTGCATGATTTCTTTAGGCACGAAGTGCAACCATCTAAACTCTATAAGCAACTTGTCAGAAATTGATCTTAGATTTCTGGCATTATATTATAGTGGACTCCTTCCTGAGCCTTTGAGAACATTTACCTACGGACAAGCTATCGGTACCTTTATTTTATTTTATTTATGGTTTCTTCTAAATAGATAAAAAAGAATAACAATAATATTCTCTTTTTGATACAATTAATTTTTATATTGATTCTTTAATTCAGAATAGTCAAATGACAAATGAATAAAATAAATAATTCAAAATGTAGAATTTTATAGTAACTGTCTTTTGATAAGATACCATGAAATCTTATACACCACCTTTAGATTCCATCAAGAATGACAAATTACTTCACTTTTATGACTTATTGTTTAGTGTGAAAAAAAGAACTTGACCATATCAGTTGATATTGTCACAGCCCCTCGTTTGTTGTCCTCTTCTCTCTCTCTGCCTACGGTTTACCGGGCAGTTCTGCCTACGGTTTACCGCGCAGTTCTGTTTGTGACGATATATATATATACACGTCCGCTCCTGCAGACAGTCCAGCTGCTTGCACACAGCCACAGCACCATGTTTTATGCCCTTCCATGTTCGTTTGTCCCCCAGCTGTGCAACAGGATATGGTCCCTGCCCAGAGTACACTCCCAACGACAGTCC